ATATATATTGCTTTTTTTTAAAATAATGATTCTTTTATTTATAACATATGCGGAAAGGCAAAACGGAAGACTTTGCTGTCTGGGCAACGGGATGAAAGTGAAGTCCTAGCATTTGCCAGGAGACGATTTCCTTTGTCAATCAAAGACATTACCAGTGTGTGCACCTCAGATTTATTAGAAGAATCTTCATTGGTCATGCCGTGGTTGACATATGATGTAAGTATTGCTTAAATGTTTTTGTTTAAGTAACTATCCCTGTGTTTCCATTGCTATTACAGAGGTCTTAATGTATATCTCTTAATTTTAGGCTGTCAACTATCGAGTAGCACAACTGGCGGCACTGGACAATACGGTAAATTGAAAAGTCATTTTATAAATGAAAAAATAAGTTGGCATTGTTAAAGATAATATGTGCTGTAATTTTGCAGTGTACTTCCCTGGGTACATTTGACTTCATTTTATGGCACCGTGAGTGGACCAAAGATGGAACTGTCCGAGATCAGATTGTGAAGCAGACACCAGTAAGTCCTACTTTATTAAAAAACAATTATTGAAAATATTAATGATACATTAATTATTAAAAATAATAATATCTTCATTTGGCATTTTTTATATAAATTAATTTTCTTTTTTGTTACCTTAAAGCAATGTGGAAAAATATACTTTCCGAGGATTGTGGGTCATTCTTCTCCTGAGACTGGGAATCATTTCATTCTCTGGGTGAGCTATCAAAAAGCATTTTAGATAGTTTTCACAAGTTTATACATACCAATCTATTCTATAAAATGTTTCCTTTTACAAAGAGTATTTAAACAAAGCAAAACTAGAAATTAAATAAGTGTAACTATTAAGATAATTTGGCAGAAATTATATCAAATATTGAAATTTATGAATGACAACATGCTTGGCGAGAGAGAGAGATCCGGATATATGACTCCCTATCACGTTACAAAAACATAAGTGATGACGACATGGCTTTACTCAGGTAAAGGAAGACGGATGCACACAACTTATTTGTAGATTCATGATAAGATATTGATGACACAAAATGCTGCCTTTGTTGTTTTCAGAAATGTGTTCAGATCTTCTGGTGGTCTTCAAGGTTGGACAGTAACATTTCCTCCACAGTGGAAGCAACAGGACTCTATCA